GAGGGAGGAGGGAGCAGGCGGAGGGAGCAGGGAGCAGGGAGGAGGGAGGGAGGGAGGGAGTAGGCAAGAGGGAGGGGGAGGGAGAGAGGGAGCATGAATTGGGGACGAGGGACGAGGGACGGAAGAGGAGGAGCAAGATATGTGATGACGAGGGGGTCGAGGAGAACGACGTCGAAGTCCAGCATAATGAATACAAGAGAACTGGTATGAGAACGGGGAATCCGCAGTAGGTCCATCAATCCGGTCGCAGGTTAGCACTGACGTTGCGCGCGAAGCATTCGCGATGCCGTGCGACTGAAGCAATACAGTATGGCAAGCTGGCCAGACAGAGGCCCAGCAGCCTGCCGGGAGCAGTACAGTGGAGGCGAGTCCACGAGAAACCTGCCACAAGGAACCCAACCCTGAGACCCCAAGACGTCCATTGACTCTTGGGTGTGTGAACGTCACGCTTCCCATGGCAAAAAGCATCGGAACCCGAGGCACCCAGGGCACCCCGGAGGCCAGCAGGGTGTCTCCTGGCATGGGTCCCCCCCGTAGTCTTCGAGCGCTTGGCGGCCTGTGAACTCCTGCCTCGGAGCTGTGTGCACGGGCGGGCACCGAGGAAGGCCGCACCTCCAGTGGTACACGCGCGCCTGCACGCCGAAGCCCTGGAGGCCGCGGGGAACGACCCCGACGCATTACAGAGCTTCCTGCATGGATCCCAGGAGGAGGAGAAAAAGATGGAGGAGGAGGACGAGGAGGAGGAGGAGCTCCCTTTGGCTCCTCCCGCGCAAGCGCCCGCCCAGAGGGCAGTGGCGGGTAGCGGTCTCGGCAGATTGCTTTCGGGTGCAAGTTGCTGTCTTCCGCCGCCTCTGCCCCTGTTCCTTGTTGCCTTCGGCGTCGGCCTTCCCTCCCCCTCCCTTCCGCCCGGGGGGGAATGCTCTAATCACCATCATCGTCGTCAACATCATCAACAGCAGCATCATCATCACCGTCATGAGCAGCAAAAGCAGAAACAGCAGCATGAGCATCATCAGCATCACGACCACCATCATCATCATCACCATCATCATCAGCATCATCATCATCACCACCGTCATCATCAACATCATCAGCAGCATCACCATCATCGGCATCAAAACCATTATCATCATCATCATCATCAGCATCATCATCACCGCCATCATCACCATCATCATCAGCATCATCATCATCATCATCACCATCATCAGCAGCATCACCATCATCAGCATCAACACCACCACCATCATCATCATGACCGCCATCATTACCGTCATCATCACCATCATCGTCGTCATCAACGTCATCAGAAAACATCATCATTATCATCGTCATCATCAGCATCACCATCATCAACATCATCAGCATCATCAGCAGCATCATCATCAGCATCATCAGCATCATCATCACCACCATCATCACCATCATCATCCTCATTATCATCATCATCGTCCTCATCACCGTCGTCATCAACATCATGAGCACCATCATCATCAGCACCATCATCACCATCATCATCAGCAGCATCATCATAATCTGCATCGTACCATACATTCTCAATGTTATGCGTGGCTACTGCCTATGCGCCGTTAGGGCGCGGCTGTTTCGTCTTGTGCGCGCCGCGTGCCCCACCCGTTACGCAATGTGTGTGCGTCTCATGGGCCCCTAGGTGCCCTCAGGAAGCGCCCATCATCATCATCATCATCATCATCAGCAGCAGCAGCAGCATCATCATCATCATCATCATCATCATCATCATCATCATCATCATCATCATCATCATCGTCATCATCATCATCATCATCATCATCAGCATCATCATCGTCATCATCATCATCACCATCACCCTCAGCATCACCATGATCGTTGCAACGATGTCTGCCCACTCTCATCGACGACGTAACCCACCAGCACCATGATCGTCACCATCATCATCATCAGCAGCATCATCATCATCATCAGCAGCATCATCATCATCAAAACTATCATCAGCATCATGATCGTCACCATCATCATCAACGTCGTAATCATCATCATCATGATCATCAGCATCATCATTATCATCGTCATCATCATCACCATCATCCTCAGCATCATCATCATGATCGTTGCAACGATGACTGCCCACTCTCATCGACGACGTAACCCACCAGCACCATGATCGTCACTATCATCATCATCAACAGCAGCATCATCATCAACTCCATCATCAGCATCATGATCGTCACCGTCATCGTCACCATCGTAATCATCATCATCGTCATCGCCAGTATCATGATCGTTACAACGACGAACGACGACGACGACGACGACGACGTCAAGAGCGGCCGACCAAGAACTCGCTACTCTCGCTGCAGACCACGGTGGCCCGGCGCGGCTGGAGAGCGCTCACTCAGGACGGAGGGAGCGTTAGGCGAGAGACAGTGATACTAGGCATTGCTGGAACCGCTTCCCGACGATCGTCCCACGCCGTGCGACGAACCAGCGCCACTCCCTCCCA